AGGTAGGCGATGAATAAACGACTCAAACCTCCAGCGATTCCTCAAGTGAAATCCATCAATGTCATGCAATTGGAGCAAACCATCACAAGTTTCTTCATTCAAATTTTCCAGACATGCATAGAGAATCCAGCCACGCAAAATGCATCCCTTAAATTGACCTGCCTGTTCTAGTACAGACCCAGGCCTGTTGTGCTCTGCTGTGTGCTCTGACCAGTCATCTTTGCTGTTCCTACTTCACGTCCAACTTCTCTCATACTTAACCATTTTGGAACAAAGCAGCTTCCTTGCCTGGTGTCTGGCGACTGTCTCCACATTTAAATCTCTCCTTGAGGCTCCCTGCATTGTGTTCATATTGCAAAATGCAATGTACACGATAAAGCCAGTGGGTGTTCAATATGGGTGTGTCTAAACTACATGGCTCCATCGGTGGAGCCATGTAGATTAGGCTGATCGGCAAAGGGAAATGAAGCTGCGATTTAAATAATTACGGCTTCATTTAAATTTAAATGGCTGCCACACTCTGCCGAGTAGCTGATGATCAGCTGTTTGTCAGCAGATCGGGGCAGTCTAGATGCGCCATGGTCAACAAGGAAGCCTTTGTCGACCGCAGCACGTCAAGACTGCCCCAATCTGCTGACAAACAGCTGATCATCAGCTACTCGGCAGAGTGTGGCAGCCATTTAAATTTAAATGAAGCCGTAATTATTTAAATTGCAGCTTCATTTCCCTATGCCTGGTAGCCTAATCTACATGCCTCTGTCGCCAGAGGTATGTAGTCTAGACATACCCTTAGTGTCTAATCTTATTGATCTATTTACCTACATATGCCTCCTCTATCTACATATCTACCTTCATACAACCCCTCTATCTACCTATCTATCTAGTCCACCCTACTCTGCGGTCTATCAAGTAGTATTTCCATTGATCTGTTGGTCTCCAAATGTATCATTGTGAATTCAGCTAACTGAACAATGATGTGTCTGGTCAAGAACTTGACTTTGAAGGTGTTTCCATAAATTACCACGGGTGACGTTCTGATCCCAGATTTCCACAGTGCCCTCTGGAGAGAGAGAGGAGCACCAGACGTGCTTATTACTAAACCACAAGTCTGTTTGGTCTTGTTCTTGTGCCGGAAGTGTTATTTCTTGCTTCTCTCATCTTTATGCCCCTCTGTTCCCTATCCTCATCTTTGTCCTCAGAATCTAAAGGCAAATGTTGTTTGAGGGGTGTGTTGGATTTGGCTTGAAATACAGCCATCTAGCCAGGCTCTTTATGATCTCTTATTCTCCATTCCCAGGAGACAATCACAGCCCACGCTCTGCACCCGGTGCCCACTAATTTTAAGATGGCATCATTTAGCGGAATTGATCGGAATCCCCTCTCTGCATAACATGCATCACTTTCATTTCTTTCATGTTCCCTTCTTCTCAATGGAGTATCTAGATAACTTCAAAAACCATGAAAAGTCCTCGGCACCTTACAGACTAACAGATGTATTGGAGCATACACTTTCGTGGGCAAAGATTCACTTTGTCATGCATATCAAGTACATCTGTTAGTCTACAAGGTGCCAGAGGACTTCTCGTTGTTTATGCAGATTCAGACTAACACGGCTACCCTTCTGACAGATGACTTCAAGAGCACTGACATTTCCATTCAGCTTCCAGTGACAATAATCTATCTGGGCTTCATTTCCAAAGGTGAGTAAAAGACTCCATTTATTTAGACCTGCTCCAAATGTCAGCAGGCGTCGTAAGACATCAACCAAAATCTCTTCTGAACAAACAATTTCCTCCCTATTGCTGTTTTGCATGAGAAAATGATGTGAATCATTTCAGTTTTCCATTCTGGATCAAAATGGGAGTTTTTTGCTATTTCAAACTTCAGCATTGATCCTGGGTGAAAACAAATATGGGAACATGGGCATGTGTCGTAAGATGGAAATTGCATCTTCATGTTTAGAGAACCTCATTGGCATTTGTTAGAAATAGCTCCATGCCGTGTGCTTAGTTCGTCACCATAGTTTTTGTGTGTGTGTGTGTGTGTGTGTGTGTGTGTGTGAGAGAGTAGAGAGAGAGAGGCCCTGAGGATGGTGTGTGTGTGTGTGTGTGTGGCCCTGAGGATGAGAGTGGATGAGAAACTGGATCTGTGTTATCAGGGTGCCATTGTAGCCAAAAAGGCTAATGGCATATTTGGGGTTCATTAAGAGCAATGTTGTGAGTAGATTTAGAGAAGTGATTAATCCTCTTTATTCGGCTCTGGGGAGGCCACATCTGGAGTACTGTGTCCAGTTCTGGGCCACCTGCTACAAAAGGAACGATGTGGACGCATTAGAGAGGGTCTAGTGGAGAGCAACAAAAATGTTGATGGGTTGGAGCACATGACCTACGAGAAGAGGCTGAGGGATTAGGGTTTGTTTAGTCTGCAGAAGAGAAGAGTGAGGGGGGATTTGAGAGCAGCCTTCAACTTCCTCAAGGGGGGTTCCAAAGAGGCTGGAGAGAGGCTGTTCTCAGTGGGGGCAGGTGGCAGAACGAGGAGCAATGGGCTCAAGTTGCAGTGGGGGAGGTGTAGGTTGGAGATTAGGAGAAACTGATTCCCCAGGAGGATGGGGAAGCGCTGGGATGGGTTCTCCAGGGAGGGGGTGGAATCTTCATCCCTAGAGGTGTTTAAGTCCCAGATTGACCAAGCCCTGGCTGGGATAACTGATTTGGGGTTGGTCCTGCTTTGGGCAGGGGGCTGGACTCAATGACTCCTGAGGTCTCTGCCAGCCCTGGGATTCTACAGTCTACCTGTTTGATGTTCCTCTGATTCAGTCTCCAGTTCCAGAATCTCTTTGTCACCCCTGCAGATGACCTATTCTGAGAATGACCCTGGCAAGAACAAGACCATTTCAGGTGGACTCATACTGGTGGGTTTTTCCTACCTTGGTGAGCTTCAAATCCTTCTGTTTCTGCTGCTTCTGGTCACCTACCTGCTCACTCTGATGGGGAACCTGCTCGTTATCATCCTGGTAAAGCTGAATCCTTCCCTCCACACCCCCATGTATTTCTTTCTGGTGAACCTGTCCTTCCTGGAAATCTGCTTCACCACCAGTGTGGTCCCTCAGCTGCTGGTTCATCTCCTGGAGGAGGAAAAGACCATCTCCATTGCAGGCTGTGCAGTCCAGATGTACGTTTTCAACATCATGGGTCTCACCGAATGCTGCCTCCTCGCAGCCATGGCCTATGACCGCTACGTGGCCATCTGCCACCCCTTGCACTACACCACCTTCATGAGCAGCCGCGTGTGTGCACAGCTCGCGGGGGCTTCATGGTTCATTGGGATCTCAGTGGAGGTAGCTCAGGTCACGTGGCTCTTCAACCTGCCTTTATGTGATTCCCACCGCATCCACCACTTCTTCTGTGACATCCCACCCGTGCTGAAGATGGCCTGCACTGACACATCAAAGAATAACATTCTAGGATTCTTTATCATAGTGCTTTTTATCATTAGTCCTTTCTTGATGATAATCCTGTCCTATTTCTACATTATCTCCACCATCCTCAAGCTGCCGTCGGTGGAGGGCAGGCGTAAAGCCTTCTCCACCTGCTCCTCCCACATCATAGTGGTGAGTTTGTTCTATGGAACGGCCCTTTTTATCTACCTGTGGCGGAAATTTAGCCCCACTGTGGAGAATGACCAAATAGTTTCCCTGATGAACATAATTGTAGCACCAGTGGTGAACCCCATAATATACACACTGAGGAACAAAGAGGTGAAGGGAGTCTTGAGCAAAACACTAGAGAAGAGAAAGAACAGGTTAAGAACTATTTAGAAAAGCGAGACATACACAAAGCCATGGGTCCAGATTTAACACATCCGAAGGTACGGAGGGAGTTGGCAAATGCCATTGCAGAGCCCTTGGCCATTATCTTTGAAAAGTTGTGGAGATTGGGAGAGATCCCGGATGACTGGAAAATGGCAAATGTAGTGCTCATTTTTTAAAAAGGGAAGAAGGCCAGTCTAGGGAACTACAGAACAGTCAACCTTACGTCAGTTCCCAGAAATATCATGGAGGTGATCCTCAAGGAATAAATTTTGAGGCACCTGAAAGAGGGGAAAGTGATCAGGAATAGTCAACATGGATTCACAAAAGGCAAGTCATGCCTGGCCAACCTGATTAGCTTCCATAATGGGGTGACTGGCTCTGTGGATATGGGAAATGAATGGATGTGATTTACCTTGACTTTAGCAAGGCTTTTGATATGGTCTCCCACAATATTCTTGCCAGCAAGTTAAGGGAATGTGGATTGGATACATGGACTGCAAGATGGATAGAAAGTTGGCTAGAAGGAGGGATTTGGCCTTGTTCAGTCTGCAGAAGTGAAGAGTGAGGGGGGATTTGAGAGCAGCCTTCAACTCCCTGAAGAAGGGTTCCAAAGAGGCTGAAAAGAGGCTGTTCTCAGTGGGGGCAGATGGCAGAACGAGGAGCAATGGACTCAAGTTACAGTTGATGACTGAGTTGGGGTTGGTCCTGGTTTGAGTGGGGGGTTGAACTTGATGACTCCTGAGGTCTCTTCCAGACCTAGGGTTCTAGGATTCTATGATCTTTGTGCACAGCCAGGGAAATTAGAGTGAAAAACAGAATTAGTCAAAACGGAATGAATGAGGCAAATTCAAACACATTTTGTTTAATTTCTCACAGCAACTCTTGAGTTTTTTGTTCACATTTCACCCTTTGAATGACCTTGATCTCTTCTATACCTGTCAGGAAAATCGAAAAATAAACTTTTCTTACCAAACTACCCCCTAAATTTTTAAATTTCTGAATTTTTGTAAAAATGTCAGAACCTTTTGACCAGATGATTAATTTCTTGACAAATCAGAGGAGAATATTTAGCCAAACAGGGTCCTGATTTTTGATCTTCCAAGTTTGAAATATTAAAGAAAAATAAGGCTTTACGTGACAAACGTTGCAGTCCAGGTACACACCCACCAACTGGGAATTTCTCTGGTCAGAATATGTCAAGTTGTTTTCTTCACTGTCTGCCGTGAGCTCTGATGTGGGAAGCCAGTGGGGAAAGGTGTGTGAGTGTATCTGCGGGGATCCTGATATCAACCTGATTGGCAACAGAAGGGGAGCTTTGTTGTTTTTCCAGGCCCACCAGAGCCTGTATCATCTCAGTTTGTTGTCTGAGAAACGCCAACAGGCCCTGCTCAACTTCCCTCTGCTTTTCTTGGGTCTTTCTCTTCTGTACTTTGTGTTTCTCCAGGCTGCCTCCCAGGGGAGCTTTTGTCAGACCTCCCAACATAGGTGGGCACAAATAGTAACCGCCCAGGGGTCCGGGTGGATGAAAAGGGCCCAGGGACCCCCGACTGCTGTTGCCACCAGCATCGGCAGTGATACCTAGCTAAGGCATGTTCCCTGCCCCCCTTCACTCCACATCACTCCCTTAAGCAGCCAGCACCTACCTGTGGGCCTGCAGGTGGCATCTTTGCACACAGCCCCCACCCTAGGCACTGACTTTGCAGCTCCCATTGGCTAAAATGTGCGGCCAATGGGAGCTATAGGGGTGGTCCCTGAGGATATCAGTGCAGAGAGATCACCTGACCACCCCTCCTCAGAGCGTGACCCCATACACCAACCTGAACCCAGGACTGGATTAAGGTCTTTGTAATCCCTAGGCTCTCTCATAATTATAAACCCTTAAATTAGACTATATAGAAATACAGACAGAAGAAAAGCCCGATCATCTATATACCTAATATCTCCCACTGTAATTTTTCACTCTGGAAAGTGGTGCACCATGAGAGAAATTCATGGTCTTCCTAGGAAGGAAAAGAAAGGATAAAACATTGGTAGTACAGCTGACAGTTTCATACCATTCCAACATGTGTTAACCGAAATCTCCAGCTAGTGATGACGTATCAGCTGGAACAATATGCCCAATTCTCAGCATTGCACTTTTAGAAAAGATGTTGATAAACTGGAGAGGTTTCAGAACAACACAAATGATAAAAGATTTGGGAACTCTGACCTGTGACGGAAGGGAAACATAATCCCAACTAAACATACAATATGATGGGGACTAATTTAACTACGACTACTCAAAACAGACATCTTGGAGTCATTGTGGATAGTTCTTTGAAAACATCCACTCTGTGCGCAGCGGCAGTCAAAAAAACAAATAGAATGTTAGGAATCGTTGAAAAAAGGGAGAGCAAATTAAACAGAGAATATCTTACTGCCTCTATATAAAACCATAGGAAGCCCACATCTTGAACACTGCCTACAGATGTGGTCACCTCATCTCAGAAAAGATATATTAGCATTGCAAAAGGTTCCGAGAAGGGCAACAAAAATGATTAGGGGTTTGGAATAGGTCCCATATGAAGAAAGATTAAAAAGATTTGTACTTTTCTGCTTAGATATAAGGAGGATAAGGGGAGATATGATAGAGTGAATTGGGACGAGATAAGTCTGCAGAATACAGACTACAGAGGGCATCATTGCATGTGAAGAGAAAAAACTCTATGGCACAGTGGACCTCTATATCATAGAACGATAGAAGGTTAGGCTGGGAAGAGAGCTCAGGAATGATCGAGTCCAGCCCCCTGCCCAAAGCAGGACTAACCCCAACTCGATCATGTGAAGAGCGATTGGCAATGTGGCCAGAAATGGGATCGCTGCCTCTTTCTACGTGGAAAATGAAGTTGTCCAAGAGCAAAGGAAGACCCATTTCACTAAGAGATCAAGCTTTTCATATAGGAGAAGCAAGTGCATGGAACCTTAATGAGGGACAGCATCGTCCCAGCAAAATGCCTTGCACCATTGCTGGGATTTTGAAATATCTTCAGCATGTCAATGTCATTTCAGCCAATGTTGAGGACACAAGAAAAGTCAGTGGATTGGAAAGGAAGGCTAGTTAAAGTTCAAACAAGGATTCATCGACCCTACAGCTGGGAGGTGTCATTTCCATCTGCGGTAACATGCCCCAATTGTGATCAAGTTAGCAGTATAAAATTAGCTCTGAGAACCCGGCAGAACGAGCAGCAGATTGGGACACGCACCTGTGTGTGTACTTTGGGTCTCTGGTAGGATTGGGTTGGGGGAGCTAGTTGTGCTGCTGAGATTACACTGCTATGGTTAGCACCAGAGCTCAATCGAAGGTTATGTTACACCCTATAAGACAAAAACCAAAACACCAAGGTTCAAGAAGAGGAAGGTCTAGCGAGTATGCAATATTGCAGAAGATATAAAGAAACAAAATTCCATTATTTGAAAGATGCAGCTGAGAAACAGAAAAGGATCCTGCCCTAAATGCATACTGTGGGCTCTTACTAGATCTGAGATACTCCAAGATCAATTATTTGAGGTTTACAGGAAGATATACAGGTGAAACTCACAGTTGCTTTATAGAGGAAAAAATTAAATGCTCCCTATTTGAAAGATTTCAAAGATTCTTGGCTAAAACGTCCAGGTCAGTCTGATCTGTAGGCCTGGCACTCTAAACAGAGGCCACACGAAGAAAAACTCAACTTCTTGACATCAGCTGTTTTAAAGGAAACTAAGGGTATGTCTACACAGCAAAGTTATTTCAAAATAACTTTACTAGCATCTACACAAGCCAACCACTATTTTGAAATTAATTTGAAATAGCGGCGGGCTTATTTCAAAATTGGTAAACCTCATTCCACGAGAAATAATGCCAATTTCAAAATGGCTATTTCAAAATAAGTGCTGTGTAGATGCTTATTTCAAAATAGGGGGCCTCCAGCCCTTCCCAGGGTGCCCTGCTGGCCGCCATGGCCACAAAGAAACTTCTGATCTGATGCCCTGCTGGAACCAGTTCTGGCTTACTTTAAATGCAATTCAGTGTCCAATTAGTGTGGACGTGCTATTTCAAAATAGCCAATTGCTATTTCAAAATGCATTTTGTGTGTAGACGTGTTATTTCAAAATATTATACACGCGGCACGGGGTTCGAACGAGCGGGGATTTAAAAATGGCGGCGCCCCGCTTATGCAAATGAAGCCCTGGAAATTCAAATCCCGGGCTTCATTTGCAATTGCGGTATGCCTACATTACCCTGCTAGTTTGATCTAGCGGGGTAGTGTAGACATACCCTGTGATAATGGAGACAGGCTGGGAACTTTTTTTCCATCTTCAATTTGGGTTCAGGACATTATACAGTTTCCCTATGGCTGCCTAAACATGCAGGGCAGCCTGGGATCCTCTGGTGGATGCATCCCAAGAGTTGCTGGTGCAGCACAGGAGACAAAAATTCTTTGCTTTCCCAGAACAGATTGGGTGGCATTAATGAAGGAGCAGGCTGTCCCAGGCCAGCTGGGGCTCTGGTGCATGTCAGCTCTGGGCTCTTCTCTGTCGCATGGCAGGGCTTCCAATAAATAGCTTCTTCTGCAGTCTTCTTCCCACTGCTCCTCAGCCCTGCCTTGGGTGTCCTTCCAGGGATGCTGCCATGGTGTAAGATCTAGATCGGGTGTTCTTCCCCCCTATAGGGCAGGACAACAGGTCAGTTTGCTCCAGCGATAAGATCTGAGCTGTGCTCACAGCCCTGGAGATCCGGTCAGCTACTCGGCCCCAGAGCAGGGACATCCTGAGTTGTGACCATGTTTGCAGCTTGGACAAGCCGGGATCAGTTTTACAGCTGCGGATACAGGAAATTCTGGGAACTGGGAAATTCAATGGAGGGTCCAGGAACAAGGTGCTGGCTAACCCAGTGATGGTGCATTGTTCACACAGACTGGCAACTGCAGCAGAATCCCGGCAGCGAAGTGTCTGGTGCAGCACATATTGGGAAACAATCCGCAATGCCCGGCACGGTGAGTCTGTTATTTCAATCAATCCAGTTTAGGCGCTACTGTCCTGGGGAGATTTGATTATGCAACTGTGAGTGACAAGTAGAACTTTTAGTGCCTTGTTGTGTGTATTTTCCAAAACATTTCCAGCTGCTTGGAGGCTCCCCCCCTCCCTCCGCACCAGAAAAGAGTTAATTTAGCATCAAAACTGAAAACAAAACTTGATTTTGTTAATTAAGAACCAGACAACCCCAAGGTAAACCTCTGGAAAATGAAGTCTTTTCAGCTACATTAAGGAAAACAAATATTTTGAGCTTTCTGGTACGTGGGTTGTCTTTCAGGAATAACAGACCTCCCCAAAAGATTTCCATAGCTGAAATCCCAGTGTTTCTTTGATGTAATTTAAACAGAAAGCATCTGATTATCCCAGACAGGCAACTTAGATTGAAACTGAGTGGGAACACTGTTATAGTCCAATAATAGTGAAATCTGACCCCATCGCTCTATTGCAATGTGTACAATGTCTGTTTCAAAGGAATTCTTGTTGAATGGTAGAACTGAGCAAATAGCAGAGATGGTAACTCCACAGCTCAGGTATAAAAGTATTAATGCTTTGGATGGGGGTTGAGTGAATTGAAGCTGCCAGGCACCGTTTTTCTCTCTTCACTCTGCCCAAGGACAGAGAAGAGCCAATGAGATTAGCACTTAGATATTTGGTTCTACCACCATATGCCTCTCAACTGCTGCCGGCTAACAACAAACACTGTAAATAGGGGCACCAAACACACACACAAGACACAGGAAATGCTCCTGAAGCACCCTAGGGTGTGTCTAGTCTACAGGGTTTTTTGAAAAAAAGTGGCATTTTTTTGAGAAACCTTCCCCTGCATCTAGACTGCTGCCACATTCTTTTGAAAGTAAATCGAAAGAACGCGGCAGGTTTTTTTGACAGCGAAAAACCTATGAGGAAGAATGCCTTTTTTCGAAAGTGCTCTTTCGAAAAAAGGCGCTATGTAATGCAAACTGGACTTTTTCGAAAGACAGCATCCAGACTGCCTAGTTGATCTCTTTCGAAAAAGCAGCTTGCTTTTTCAAAAGTACTGGCTGTAGTCTAGATACTCTTTTTTGAAAAAGGCTTTTTCGAAAATATCTTTCAAAACGGTCACTTTCGAAAGAGGCTTGCAGTCTAGACATAGCCTTAGAGACTAACAAAAACTGTATATAGTATCATGAGCTTCTGTGAGCTTTTTTGTTAGTCTCTACGGGTGTGTCTATACTACAGGGTTTTGTCGACAAAAAGGACTTTTGTCAACAAAACTATACCTGCGTCTACACATAACATCAACAGAACTCAGCAGTTTTGTCAATAGCGGTAAACCTCATTCTACGAGGAATAATGCCTTGTGTCAACAGAGTTCAGTCAACAGAAGGCGTTATTGCCTCTACACTGTCCTTTGTGTCTACACTCTCATGTCAACAAAGCGGCTTATTTTGTCATCAGAACTGGATGTAGTCTAGATGCTCTTTGTCGATAGAAGCTTTGTCGACAGTATCTGTCGACAAAGCCTCTGTCGACAAAAGCCTGTAGTCTAGACATACACTAATGTGCTGCCAAGACCATTCATTGGGGTTTTTTCCCCATAAGCAGAATACTAAATTGCTTAGGGCACACAAAAATTTGGGGCATTGCTGGGTCTGACTGTCCATCAGCAGGGCTCTTCCTATCCCTGTTCAGTGGCTCTACTTTCTCCACAGGCTGCTGTTTGTAGCAAGAGGGGATCTGTCTCAGCTAGTGATGAGACTGGGCTTTGCTCCATCCTTCACACAGAAGTTTATCCAGCCCCCTCCTGAGCCCGATCTTCAGATGGTGCAAAAGGATGCAGCTCCATGGATGGGAGAAAGGCCAATTGACATCCGTGTGGTAACTCACCGCCCCTAGTGAACAGCTTGGTGCTGTGAATTTTGCATTGTGGACACCCACAGCATGAGAAGTTGCTGCAGGGAATCAGGGTCATTCCGAGTATCACTCTAATCCCAACGCCCGTCTGTGCCCTTCCCTTCGCAGCCACCACACAACATGCTAAGAATGAAAATGTCCAACCAAACCCTCGTGACTGAGTTCCTTCTCCAGGGATTCTCTGACATTCGAGAGATTCAAATTTTGCACTTTGTGGTGTTCCTGGTGCTTTACCTGGGAGCCCTTCTGGGGAACCTTCTTATCATCACAGCTATAGCCCTCGACCACCATACCTGGGAGCCCTTCTGGGGAACCTTCTCATCATCACAGCTATAGCCCTTGACCACCATCTTCACACTCCCATGTTCTTCTTCTTAGTCAATCTGTCCATCCTAGACCTCGGCTCCATCTCTGTCACCGTCCCCAAATCCATGGCCAACTCTCTCCTGAACACCAGGTCAATTTCTTACCCTGCCTGTGTCACCCAATTCTTTCTCTTTTTAGTCTTTATTTCAACTGATCTTGCCCTTCTCACCGTCATGGCTTATGACCGATACGTCGCCATCTGCCAACCACTGCACTATGAACAAGTGATGAACAGGGGAGCTTGTGTCCAAATGGCTACCAGTGCCTGGATTGCTGGTATTATCAACTCTGCCCTGCACACTGCGAACATCTTCCGGTTACCCTTCTGCCAGTCCAAAGACATTGACCAGTTCTTCTGTGAAATCCCCCCGCTTCTCAAGCTGGCCTGCTCCGACTCAGACCTCAGTGAACTTGGGCTCCTTACCTTTAGTGTGTTTTTATTTTTGAATTGCTTTGTTTTGATCATTGTGTCTTATGTTCAGATCTTCAAAGCAGTGATGAGAATCCCCTCTGAGCAGGGCCGGCACAAAGCCTTCTCCACCTGCCTCCCCCACCTCGCCGTGGTTTCTTTGTTACTTTGCACTGGCTTTTTTGAGTACCTGAAACCTGCCTCCAGCTCAACATCAATTCTGGATCTCTTGGTGGGTGTTCTCTATGCTGTAGTACCTCCCATGATGAATCCGGTCATCTACAGCATGAGGAACAAAGAGATCAAAGCTGCACTGAAGAAACTTATTGTGTGGAGTAAGTTTATCAAGAATTGAAGTGTCTTCACTGTTTTACTATGATTTCATTTTGCATTTCTTTATAAATATAATTGATTTATGACGAAGTTATCTCCTTGAGAAAATTAGTTGCAATATTTTTTATGAATGTATAAAAACAAGACTAACTCCACTGACATTGAATTAATGTAGAATGACACCTGTGTAGGTAAGATCAGAATCAATGCATGCCCATAAATCTATCTAAACTCTATCTATTTTTCTTGGGAATTTATACTGTGAACCTCTGGGCCTGTTACATAGATGTATACTATCTGAGCCTGATACACAGACTATCAACAATGACAGCACAATTGTTAGTGGATTTCATGAAGTCTCTGCCTCTTCTCCTTTTGGGGGTTGGAATATGAGAGTGTGTTTGCTTCATTGTTTATTTTAAATTATGTTTCATTTTATGGATTCATTGGTTGACATGTGTTTTTGTTCCAAGTGAATTCTGGAGGTAGGAATTTGCAGGGTGGCATATGTTCGATTAAGTGGGGAGTATCAGTTGTTTTTTTTTAATATGTATCTAGGGTATGGATGTCATAATATATTCAAAGTGGTTTTCTGAGCGACTGGAAGTTTTGCTTTCCCCATTGATGAAGAATTTAAACAAGTTTCTGTCCCTGAGTTCCTGTTCCAATGGTTATTTTAATACTGATGGGATTTTTTTCTATTATTTATGATGTGTTAGTGCAACTGGATCCTATTATAATTATGTGTATTGTCTTTTTTAGTTAAATAAATAAGTGCTGTATTTTCCTTGCTCTGGTGGAAAACAATTTAGGAAGAGAAAGCTATTGCACTGTTTCCTGAACACAAATGGAGTATGCCTAACAAGACCAAATGTGTATTCTATCAGTCTCATATTTTCTCTTACGGTAAATTTTGTTCTACAGCAATTTTACACAGCAGTTTCTCATAGCTCCTGTGAGAAGACCCGCACATGCTTAGCGCAGGGGGAGAGGTGATGTTTGGTGCAAAAGTTGCTATAGCTTGTTTGCGAGAGGGAATCATGTTTTCCACTCTAAGAAAGAGACAGGTACCAGACAGAAACATGGGGGTGGCCACTCAGAGGCCAAAGCAGATGTTTTTCTAACCTTGGAACCGTAACACATGGAAATCAGCCATTCACTTCAAAGGCTAGATTAGGAGTTGGCCAATGGTCTCTCCTCCACTCAAAGGATCAATTGTGTCCAGTTCACAGAAGTTGGTTGCATTATTACGAGCTTTAATTCTATATGAAACCATAGTTTTGCATATTTAAAACCCAACTCTGAATATTCTAAACTAAGGCACTAATTTAAGAAGGGAGAATGTTGCCTCAAGAAGTCGGTGGGGTCTCGTAGATAGCTAGGAGTGCTGGTAGCATAGGGTCTGAGGAGAGAGTCACTATAGCCAGATAATCCTGCTGTACAATGCTTGAGATGATGGGTAGTCCGGGATTTCCAGGTTTGTATATCTTGGGTAGCAGATAGAAAACTCCTGGTCAGGGATTAGAGGGGGTGTTTATGTAAATTTGGTCCAGAGCAGTATCAGGGACCTTCATGAACAGCTGTTTTAGGGGATTTTTTGGTATTCTTTAGTGGGATCTCAGGAAAGAAGCTTGTAGAATCTAGTGTTGCTGAGTTGTCTGGTCGCCTCCTGCTCATAATCTGTTCTGTTCACGATGACTACAGCATCCATATTGTTTGGTTTCCCTTTTCCCTATTTTCCTCTTGCTAATGGTGCAGGGGCAGCTCCCAGACCCTCCTTTGGGAAGGCCTCACCAGGTCGTGGGCAGGGAAACTGCTCGGACAGTAAACCACACCGGTGACGGGAACCATCCTATGGGAGGAAGCCTCAGCCTCCCATCCTCAGAGTCACAACACTGGTTGGCTGCGTTTGCAGCTAAAACTCCCCCTTTTCTCCTCCATCAGTTACTTGACAGTGTGGGGAGTTGGACAGGCTGTGGGTTCTCTTCCCCTGCAGCCACAGAGAGCTCCGGTCCGCTACAGCCCTTCCTTGCCATGGATTCCTGACGGCCTTTGATCAGGGCCAGCTGCTTGATAGACAATCTACTGCCTTCCCTGGGCTCTTTGCTTTCAAATGCAATCTCAGACAGAGCCGGGGCCAGACTTCCCTGAAAGCGTCTCACAACCTCGAGACACCCCTGCCCTGACAGTCAGTCATCCACATGAAGTTTAGTGAGGTTTTCACTTGGTGCCCATCACCGAAGTATCTGAGGACCATTTCCCAGGGTGGAAGGCAATCTCTCTTCCTCTTAACAACAGTCTGACTTTTTTTTCAATATACAGCAGCATGAGTGTTGATAAGGAGGGGCTAATTTACTCTAGAAAGCTGGACAGTTTGAGCTCCGATAGCTTTACACCGGCTGCCAGCATGTGCTTCCCTAACAGGGACCTATTCAGGGTTTGAGCTTTGGACCTGCAGCAACGTCACATGATCCGCTTCCTCTTGAGCTCAAGGGGGAACCACTTCAGGAAAAAGCAGTAATAGGCTTTAATCCTCCACGTAGACCAGACATTGGAAAAAGAAAAGCTATGCACCTGGCTAGTGAGATATATTTTCAGTAATCTGATTGTCATGTAAAGATCTTCTAATCATGCCCAGTGATATGAGCGTACAAATTTCCACACAGAGATGTATATACACACACAGAGGATTTCTGCATTATATATACTCTGTGGCTCCGATTTCAAACAATATTCATTTATTGGTCTTAAAAAGTATTTAAATACACTATTTACAGTAGCAGAGGGCTAGCTGTGTTAGTGTGAATCTGCATAAACAACAAGAAGACCTGTGACACCTTATAGACTAAGGGTATGTCTACACCACCCCCCTAGTTCAAACTAGGGGGGGTAATGTAGTCATACGGAGTTGCAAATGAAGCCCGGGATTTGAATTTCCCGGGCTTCATTTGCATGAAGCCGGCCGGCGCCATTTTTAAATGCCGGCTAGGTCGGACCCCGTGCCGCATGGCTACACGCGGCATGGACTAGCTAGTTCGGATTAGGCTTCCTATCCAAACTAGCTGTACACCTTGTGGAATGAGGTGTACAGCTAGTTCGGATTAGGAAGCCTAATCCGAACTAGCTAGTCCGTGCCGCGTGCAGG